TCTAGCAGAATTATTAGTGGTTGTTCATAGCCCCGTCCACTTCATTGAAGACCGCTTGAATTGAGTTATGATCTTATGTGCTTACAATTGGTGCTGTCAAGTGCCAGAAGGCCCCGACTACCGCCGGTAGGTCTCCTTCGGTTTACTTGTTGACCCATGCCTAAGTTTTGCTCATGCTTTCCTGGCGTTATGAAAACCAGTACAGATAATTTGCCCAGGACACCGCACACTGCCGTGCATGTCCCGCCCCCGGGAGCAGAGCTCCGCCGAGTTCACATGAGCTCTGTAGGGTTTGTGCTATGTTCAACCTAACCCAAGATTGAGCCGACTCCTACAGGTGATCCTTCAGGTAGTATAGAATTTCGGTGTAAGCAAAAAACGGACAGACGGAGCGTGAGCGCTTTATATACAGTAAGGATCACCATAAAGATGAGCTCGTAACACAGTGCACCTATAGAGCCTCCTGAAAAAGTTTCGTTCGAAAACGTCTTTCTAAATCTTGTCTTTTTTCATACTTTTTTAGGCTTCTTTGTGTCAGAATGAATACGAATAGCATGACGTTTTCCGTTCACTCGATAAAGTTGTCACGTTCACAGTCGAAATAAGCAGGCTGAAGAAGGAAGCACCGTCTTGACGGTCCCGTTCCTCCCCTGTGCATGATTCCATTTCTGTGAAATCATAATCTGTTTTGCGAGGATAAAAGGCATTATACGATAGGGTTAATTCTGGGTTGGAATAGACTCTAACACTTGAAATACTAATATTACATTTAAGAAATGATTTTGTTCCCAAACTGCATGCCGCGCTCTAAGTTTAGCAATTCCTTCCTTTGCCGCTTGTCGTAGAATTCGGGTACAAGACAACCCGATATTTCGCTTAGGAAATTGTGAAGCTGAACGAAATCGCTTCAAGCTGGAATAAAACCTCGAAATTCCTGAAACTTCGATCAAATGGCAGTAAGAACCGGAACTCTCCGAGCCAATTCGGAAGAATCTTCCTCGGCGTCAATCAAGCACTAACGAGCGCCGTTCAGTTTCAGCGAGAGAGCGCGAGAAAAATGGCTGTGGTGTTTCGTGAGTGCACGGCGTGTCGCGCTCGCCACTTCGCGAACACCGTTGCTTACGTCCTAGAATTCCTAAGTGCTCTGCCCCCTAATCCCTTCTTGATTTGACTCAGCTGAAATTTGCTTTCGAGCAGAGGCGGGCTTGTTCATGAACACAACTTTAGCATGAGATCTACAAAGCAGTTATTCCGAATGGGCTCATCAAGCTGCAGGATAGCACGACACTGACGAGCCGTTTATTGCTGAGTCCAGGGTTCATTATAAAGTCGCTAACCCGTACTTCGAAAAAAACATGAAGTCTCTTTCCTTCTCAAGGGCCTTTTCAAATTAGTGAGGATGTTAAACACAACATGAGCACGAGAAGTTCATTCATATTCTAGAACAGCATCCGTGGAGAATTTAACAGAGGGCAATTAAGTTGTGCGGAATTCGGGATTATACCAATGAAGGAACTCCTCACTGCTAGTATTCCAGTCGGGCCTGAGTGGGAACTGTTGCACTGCAGCCAGATGTTCGAGTCAGGATCATAACTCAGATTTACTGTACTACAAGATCCATTGATTGTCAATATGAATGCTGAGAAGGACACACCAACGGCAGAAGGAATTTCGTCAAATATCGAACTGATTTCGGGAGTAGACTTACGTCTTCTCATATTTTTTTTTCGAATTTTGTAGGCGTATTTCATTGGAAACATCAAGTGCAAAGAAAGGTGAGCTTGAAAAGGCTGTCTCGGCAGATGATAGTTACCGTCCGGCGTAGCAATATAGAAGAGAGCACTCAAGGTGTCGAGAAATTCCCTACTCAACGAGGTGTAAACTGCACGACTAACTTCAAGATGTGATACCTTAAATAGACATGAACACGTAATATTTCAAACTCAAAAGATTCAATTCAAGCAATACAATAATTCAAATGAGCGCACTGTCGCATCCAAAAGAGCGTTACAACGGCATACATCGCGATCATTTGTTTTGAAATATCTGAAAATTGTCCGTGTTATACAGTGCGAGTCGTCATTGTAGGATTACATTATTTTCTCCCACAATATTTGCCCATTAGCCCATTCATCGACACATAGGGCATGAACTTAATGCGCGTCTCCCCAGGATACCACAGAGAATTGCTCGTTCCGCTTTGGTCTGAGCTACAACACTACTCAACCACCCACAAACCATGACTACGGAATTGAAGTTATGCTGCTGGTCTTGCTTTCATTCTGAGCTCGTACACTGCACATAAATATCACCATAATTGAGGAACGATTCTGGTACGACTTTGCTATTTCATTTGCATACGTTTTTATACTTTTCTAAAAGAGGCGATCGCGATGCATGTTATAAATAACAGTTTTTCGTACCTATTTAAGGTCACACGATTCAGAACTGGTCCCACATTTTATTTTCTGATAAGTAAAGTATTCATCCACATTCCTGCACTTCTTTACCCCATTGCGNAATTTCCAGCTAGCAGCTAACTCCCTCCAGTGCAACTTTTTGGAGAAGTGTGCAGCCCAGTGTACATTACGATGGAAAATATAATCGATCTAGGTCCGCCTGATTTCTACGAACTGTATCGAGTTCTACATAATGTTCAATACTGTTGAACCGCTCTATTGGTCAATGTTTCGACTGAATCGTCGTCTTCAGGACCTGAAAATAGCTCGAAGCCTCTGATCTGCGACTTACCCGACTGACGCCCTAGCGCGCTAGGCTAGCTGCAACAATTCCCGGAAAATATAATAAAACATGGAAAAGTATCCAGCAAAAGGGCCAACCTTCCGCGGTTCCACCAGCGCTACGTCCCACTCTATATGAACAACAAGGGACCAATGAGACACCATCGTTTATCGTAAGATGAGAATTATGCGGGTGATCTCAAAGTCCACAACAGGGAATGAACGGCAATAGTTCACTTGTTATGGCCAAGCAGTCATTTCGGTTGTTCAGGCTTGGATTTTTTGCCGATATGTAACGCTTCCAGTATCTTCCTAGCACCGATCGCTTGGTCGGGTAAGTCGCAGATAAGTCGGAGACTTCAAACTATTTTCAGGTCCTGAAGACGACGATTCAGTCGAAACGTTGACCAATAAAGCGGTTCAACCATAACAAACCCGTGCGGCAAAGCAGTGTTGAACATTATGTAAAATGCCCAGGTTTCAAGAAGACCGAACATGGAAGTTGCAACAAAAGAATGAAAGCAAAAGATTGTATTCACAAATCTCAACTACCAAACTGCTACGAACCATACACTATAGACCGTTCTGGTCGAACCAGTTTTTCAATCCTTCCACTTCAAACAAACATTTTATTAAACTTGAGACGATTATTTGATGTTTTATCGGAACATATTAGAAAAATTCTACATCCACTGAAGTTCATAAGCTGGATCATCGCCTCGTTTCAATGGTGGAGGTTTTGCGGTAGGCACATCTTTAACTGAAACCGCTCACATCAGCCTTATTCAACAAGCTTGCTTGATGAGGATGACCAACCTTTCAGTGCAGTAGTGCCATCAATGTTTTCGGTTTTACTGAGTACATTCATCATGTCCTCTCCTATAGCGTCTTCGAGGCGCCAGTACTGAAATTCACTTACACAAGACAGCATTTGTATTACCAGGAGCACATTAGGTAGAGGCTCAGCCTCAATTTGCTCTCCATGCTACCAACCCTATGAGAAATACCGATTCTCTACGGAACTTAGAAGTGGAATCGTTCCAAACAGTTAGCACTTTTACTTCAGTGAAGAGCCTAGCGTCTAGTCAGGTAACCACCGCTCCTCTCCGAAATCGCGATAAAGTCTCGACTCAGAGCAACCCAAAAGATTCTATACGACCTGTACTAGGGTGTCCTGGGCTAGCTCGAGGACTGATCGATGAAGTTTCAAAGACCTCAGTGGTGACGTCGGCTACCAGAAAATGGATAACAAATTACAAACTTCTCCAATACGTCTTACGCAAGGCAGAATTGGGGCTAGACAGATCGGTTCCTTCGTATCACACACAAACAACTTGCTTTCAACTTCGAGCCATTTGCTCTTTTCCCGGGTACATCACAATGGATTTTTATTGAGCACAGGATTCTTCGCTATGATAACGTATTTCAGTGTTGAATTGCTAACCATGATGCGCAGTGCTTGTAAGTAACTCAATTTCCCTAGTTATGTTTCTCTGACTGTAATCAGCGCTTATCACTGCGATTGTCACCTTTGGTCAACCTACTGTATCTTTCCCTCAGGACGAATGGAGCATACAAGCATGTTAAGGCTTCATCCTGAATGATTAAGGGATAAGGAACCGAACATTTTTTATTTGCTAAAACTCGATATACCCTTAACTAAGCTCCATGACTTTCACCAATTATCAATGATCCCTTTACATCCTAATACCTACGTAATGAACTCATGTCAGTGGCCTTTCATTTGCCTTGAGTGGTCTGTCTGCCTTCATCGGTCGGTTTTCGTCCTCTCATATCACCTATCCAAGCGACTAGGTTTCGATGCCAATACGCTCACATATATACCAATACGATACACCAATAATACAATACACCAATACACCAATACGCCAATACGTCACATGTATTAAATCCAGTGGCTCTTAGGCCATATCTACTTGTCATCCCTTAACAATTATTATCAGTTCCTGTCACCAATCATCTGCGATAGTGATACATCACACATCACTCACTAATGTTTAAAGGCACCAACATTAACGCGGAATGCACAACCATTCGTGTAGCTTTGACCTTGTAAGGCTCTCTGTCAATAGTTATCAGCTACCATCACCCGACACCAGCAACGTCATTGCCTAAGCCTTGTCATTCCGAAAATTTGAGTGCTATATATACAGCAGAACAGAAAAGGTGTTTCCGGTCTTACAAACACTCATACAAACACCGACACACACCGGTACACGTACAGTGACACATGCACCGAAGCTCCGATACACCCTCTATCACACAGGCACACACCGAGATACACACCAACACACACATGCCGATACACACATCGACCCACTACACCGACGAACACATCGACACACCCACTCAGCAAGTTGTGTATTGGGGCAGTTCTATTCAGAGGTACGTTACTCTGACAATTAGCAGCCCCTAATCGTAAGCAACAAGTGGCTTGAAGCGTGAACCATCATGACATTTTGGTGTTTAATATGTTGAGATGATGTCAAATAGATGATTATTATGCTGTCAGGATGCAGTACTTGCAACGTGGCAGCCGAGTATCCGACCGAGATCAATTTTTTGCATCCAATCGGATTTGACAAAGTTTCTACTGGGTGAAAAAAGAGTCTGCATCATCCCTGTCTAGGACAATGACTATGAAATAGAACAAGGAAACAACCTCTAGCAATGCCGATTTTTGTGGGTTTCNCAGGATGCAGTACTTGCAACGTGGCAGCCGAGTATCCGACCGAGATCAATTTTTTGCATCCATTCGGATTTGACAAAGTTTCTACTTGGTGAAAAAAGAGTCTGCATCATCCCTGCCTAGGACAATGACTATGAAATAGAACAAGGAAACAACCTCTAGCAATGCCGATTTTTGTGGGTTTCTTTTGAACATACGAAACAGCTCGTCCCATTTACCAGCAAACTCGAATTTTGTTTCAACGAGTTTTTCGTCAGCCAGAAAACGTCTCATTTCTTCTATCGTCTTAAACATGAAAGGTTTGGATTTCATAAATGGCTACTTAAAAATTACTCAATTTTTTAGTAGATTGTTCAGAAGTTCATAATTTACGTATGCCCTGAACAGACAATCTTAATTATGATCTGAGATGCGGTTGAGGAAGTGCTATGGATCGAAGGGTGATGACCGTATGGGTCTGGTATCTTCTCCCCGAACGGCGTGTCACGCTTGAGGCACTCGAATGAGCGCTATGAAGGGGAAGATTCGAATTCACAGTGGAAGGATACGGCGGGTGCGCTTCGTTGCGCGTGTCTGTCGAAACTAGGTCACGCCGCAGCCGTCGCACGCGGCGAGTCGGCCCGCGATATTTGACGGACGTCGCAATTGTCACTGGGGCATACGCTTTGCGTTTGGTCCATGGCAGTCAGTTCAAGAAGAAGATAACACAGACAAATGCAAATCATTTGCTCCAATGACACTTGGTGATACTGTAATGTCATCTCGAGACCTCAGTGTGATGCGCCGCGCGCGAAGTGGGCGGGGTGACCTACTTGCGACGGACACACGCAACGGACGTTCTCCGGACACGGCAGTTGCCGCAGAAACACTGCCGCTGGCCGAGGGACTTCGGGGAGAAGTTTCACGTTGCCACCCATGGCCGCATCAGTACAGTACCCGTAAAAAGTAAGCGACTTCACTTTCGAAGTTAGGCTCACTAAGCTGTGTAAGAAGGATTTTGCGAGTGTTTATTTCGAAGTAGTTGGATACTAAAGCATACTCTCAAGTTCAAAGGGTCATTTTGTCTTAATTCGAGAAAACTGCGATAAAGTCTATCCCACGCCACTGCCAGAGCTTTGCAAGAAGTCCAGGGATCATTTGATTGAAGATGAACATCATCCCGTTGCGCAAACTGCAATACCATACCGCGGTATATGCTGGGAACCGGCTATTTATGACCCCCTCACTGAACCATTTCACAGAATTGCATTGTGTACTGCTTAGCCTTCCAGACTAAACGCTAGATCACCCTACTAATAAGAATTTCGTTCAGATCCTACTTTCAGACTCGCTCTCTTACTGAGACTATCTCCCGTTCTGGCCGGCAACATGCAACCCATGTGATTGGTGTACTGTTTCAGCGATGGGCGCACGCGTGGGAAGTGGGCCGCCGCGGCAGCAGCCGGGAGTCGTGGCGGGACCACACGCTCACTCCTCTTGTAACTGTGAGGAAGAACGCTCCTACTCCCCTTCACCTTCTCTTAGGAAGCTTTCAATTTCATTGCAGACCCTTCTTATGTATATAGTATGTGGCGTTCTCAATTGCCATGAGCCCGTACCTGGTGAGACTTTTCAATCCAGTGCGTTATTTCCTTATCATATTCTTCTTGCTTTTACCAGGGGAAGGAATATAGGAGCTGTTTCAGCGAACAAACCTTTTCAGAAAAATCTTCGTCCTCTCGTTCATTGATTGCCGTCACTCCCCCTACCGTTGTGCCACCTCCTACGATAGTTGTTTGGTACTGGTCCTGTAAAGATACCCTAAAACTGCTGCCGCGTTGCAAATACAAATCATTCAGAAACTCATTTATGGGTCTTGAATGAATGATAGAAACGGTGGGCTAACCATTGCTTGAAAATAATTTTTGCGACGTGCTTGACCTTTTTTAGCTCCTCTGTCTGCACGAGCCTGAATTGTGGAATTGATGCTAATGCTGATGGAAGGTCAGGAACGGTACTCATACATTTCCGTATCAGAAAATGAGCTGTAAGCTGATTCTTCCTGTTTTTTTGCTAAGGTCGAACCGTGAACCTACAATGATGACCCCAACTCTACGAAAACCATCTGAACTTACTGCATAAAGACGAAGAGAGTTATCAAGTCGTTCGCCTTTCCTGATACGATTTGCTCTTCTGGACTCTGATTTTGAAGCATTCTCATTCTTTTCGTCCGTCATTGCAGTTGTACCCATTTGTGTGGCTTCTATAAGTCTGCTTGCTCCTTCTGTTGATTCCCTTCTAGATATAGCTTTTTCTTTTGATTCTTTTGATTCTTTTGATTCTTTTGATTCTCCTCTAGTCTTGGCTCCTTCTTTTGATTCTCTTTTGGATCTGATTACTTCCCTGGAACCTCTTCTGGATCTGGTTACTTCTTTCGATTCTCTTCTGGATCTGGTTACTTCTTTGGATTCTCCTCTCGATTTTGGTTCCTCCGTTTTCGTTTTCTCTTTCGATCTACGGCCAGCTTCCTTGGATTCCTCTTTCTCCCTAGAACTCGTCCTAGGTGGCATCTCTTCTGCAAAAAAAAACCGTTTCAACCAATACCCCTATGGACTCAGTATACAGCTTGCTAACAGCCTAAACAGCTGCCGAAACTTTCGGGTAATGCCTTTTATACACACTGACTGAAAATCGATATGAACGCCCGTGAGCTCTATCCGGGCTCGTTACACAAAGCAGATCGAGTAACTTCCATGTAGGGCTTTCTCGACATGACTGGGGTATGTGGACGAATGTGCGTCCGAGGATGCGGGCGGCAAAATGAGCGGCGAAGTTTGTAACGATTTCAACGGCTTCAGGGCCTATCATTGGGGCCCAAATTTGAAGTTGAGTAGATTAGAAGGATCATCTGACTCTACTAAACTACTCTACATCGAGTTTGTACTCCGAAAATTGGCGTCAGAGTCGTACAAATCATCACAAACTTCGCCGCG